AGGCGAGCAGCGTGCGCTTGCCGTGAGCTGTTTGACTTGTGCAGCCAAGTGTGGTGTAACCTGGCCTTGAAGAGACTTTCAAAGTGGAAAATACCGGATCAGGAAATATGAGTCACTGCTGGGCTTTGGAATTTATTGATGGATTTGTTTCAATTGCAACGGAGCTATCTCCAACTCACATGTGCAAAACAAACAAGGTGCTCAGACCGGTGTCCAGAAGTGTCACATGAAGAGCCGCAAGGATGGCTCCCAGTCGGGATCGAGGTTGCTCAGTGTAAGAGGTCTAATTAGAGGGATTAGGAGAATGGGCAGCAATTAAAGAAATCAGGCACTTAGCCCCCTGTTTGTCCTGGGGACCCGCTCCAGTCCTCTTGTCACACTCCGAGTGCCTTTGTGTGTCTGATCCCTAAACACTGACCCAAAATCCTGGGAACTGGCTCTGGCCAAGCGTGCCTACCCTGTCTCACCAGTATCCGGCCCGTCTGCAAAAGTTGATGACAAGGATCATCTCTGCGAGGTCCTTTCGATCTACTTTCTGTCTTTTTTCTTTACCTTCCCAAGTTTGTATTTCCCACTTTCCCCTACAACCGTGACAGTGAGAAGTTAATAAGTGTTGAGAGTCCTCAGCTGTCCCCGAGGGCAGGAGCTTGGACTTGGGGCACAAAATGGCAAAGGCTCAGGATGCGCCATGTCCCGGTGCTGTGCTCCGGTGGAGCTGGAAGCCGGTGCCAGCAAAGTCCTTCGCTGCTGCTGCTGCTTCGCTATTTATTAACACGCTGCTCAGGCGTGCCAGCCGGGGTCTGCAGCCCCGGGGTGGTGGGAGCTGTGTGTGCACTGAACTGAAGGTGCCCCAGTGAGGCTGCAGCCCCCTCGCCTCTTGGGAGGGGGTTTTCCTGATCCCCCCCTTGCAATCTCACTATTGAAGTGGGGAGGGGGCCGGGAGCAGCCCTTGGCTGTGTCTCTGATGGTGGCTGTCCTGCCTCGCTCCTTGGCAGATCTCCGTTTCGGGGGGCGGGCTGCCCCCGGTGTGTGCACTGAACTGAAGGTGCCCCAGTGAGGCTGCAGCCCCCTCGCCTCTTGGGAGGGGGTTTTCCTGATCCCCCCCTTGCAATCTCACTATTGAAGTGGGGAGGGGGCCGGGAGCAGCCCTTGGCTGTGTCTCTGATGGTGGCTGTCCTGCCTCGCTCCTTGGCAGATCTCCGTTTCGGGGGGCGGGCTGCCCCCGGTGAGCACCCTGACCAACATCCACAGCTTGTCCCACCACAACCCGCAGCAGTCCCAGAAACTCATCATGACGCCGCTCT